TGACAATCCAAATCAGAAGATATATACTAATCGAACTCATGAGCAATGACAACGAATCCTCTTACACACCATAGAATTCTCTTATGCTAGCTTTCCTTTCATGGATAGACATGTGGTTTTTCCATCAGCGTATGCCTACAGAGGGAAAAAAACATTACAAATTAATGTCCTTGAAATGCTATCGCTTACTACTTCACCGGGACATAAATGGATTTGTTACACAAGCACTTGCAAATTACCTTGTACATAAGAATTCGGAGCAATCCCAAGGCACCAGCAAGATGACAATCAGTCCACTGGACGAAGAAAAGGAAGAAATGAGCAGCCGGACTGTAAGATAATCGCATCTGAAGGCAAGCACCATCATATTCTCTTGGATAATCAGAAGCCCTAATCATTCGAACAAATTACTCATATCAGAGAAAACAGAAGATGAACAAAAATGGAAATGATCACACCACTCAGATATCTATGCAGTGATTGAATTCAACAAGAACATAATAGTATAATGTAGTCCCTCCTCCACCACCTACTTATCAATGCTGACATAACTTCATTTTTCAATGTACCAACGTCTGACACTTGTCTTTAACACCTGTTTAAGACTTCGATACGAGGATATGACCTCCACTCAGGGATGGACCGAGTGTATGCCGGGGCAGTCGCACCCCTGAAAATTTTCAAATTCCTATATAATTTGAGTGTTTCCTTGTATTTTCTTCGGATAATCTAATTTCGTACTCACTTAAAATTATTTTGTGACTTCGCACTCTCTAAATCTCTAATATATTTCACTAAGATTCCCGTCCGTCACTGCCTCGACCAGATACTATACATGAAGAAGCTCAAAAAAACCATTTCCATAGGACCATATCAGACACATATCAGATATATAACCATATCGGACTGTTCTTCCCTTTTCTGGCAGTGGATGTCATTGGTTCAACTTGAAGATGAACAAGAACAACTACTAACTTCCCATTACTGTACGAGCCTTCACTAATAAACAATACAAAACCACTTAATTAAGCAACGGGTACAAAATAAGGCAGCAAAATTCACAATAACAGTTCCAATTAAGAAAAAAAATCAATATAGAGCCATGGCAATGGTAAAAGTCACCAATCTGAAATTTTAAAGTCCCCCAGAGTAATGAAAATGTAAACTAATCAAATTACAATTAAATCTCCACAATTAAAGACCCAAACAAGTTTTAGCTCAACACCAGAAGAGAACAGAAGAAATTACAGGGTATTGGCGAACTGAATATCAGCTTCAAGAGCCTTGAGAGAATCTTTGAACGATTTCCTCATTTCCCCGTCTCTGTTTTCTTTCTTTCTTTCGCTAAAAACTCTGTATTCACAGCTCAGATCCCAGAACTCCAACAACCCATTTACCTCAAACAACTATTCAACACATCACCAGAATCTTAGATCACTACTCTTTACTCTCTGTTTAACGAAATCAATTTTACAATTCAGAAGAAGCTGAAGAGTGAAGAGTGTGAGAGATTGAAGAGAAAATTTTTAAAAAAATTTGCTGAGCTTTCACTCAGAGCACACGTAATTGTAATTTCTTGTTTTCCCCCTTGATATTTTCTTGCCCTTTTATACCAGGTCACCCAGTTCTGGTCACTGCCATGGGGGTGCGTGTATGGAGGAATGTGTGCACCTGCGGGTGAGAATAAAGTAAGATAGTGTTTGTTTTTACTGTGCAAACTCTTCAAATTACTTATGTCTGCGTCGTGCAGACATTAGGCTTCGCAGACGGTTTGTTTTTTAGAAGACAGAAGCTCTTCAAACGTCTGTGCGAGCTCTTCTTAGTGCATACTTGATTTTATGTCTTCAAAGGTCTTCAAACCTCTTCAAGAACAATTATAAAATATAATTATTTATTAAAATAATTTTAAATAATTTAATAATGTTATTTATTTTAAAATAATTTATTATAAAATAATTTACTTTAAAATAAATTATTATAAAATATGGATTGATTTATTTTAAAATAATTTATTAGTATGAATTGATTTATTTTAAAATATAGATTGATTTATTTTAAATAATTTATTAGTATGGATTGATTTTTTTTAAATATGGATTGATTTATTATTGTAGTTGTATGGATTGATTTATTTTAAATAATTTATTAGTATGGATTGATTTATTTTAAAATATGGATTGATTTATTTTAAATAATTTATTCGTATGGATTGATTTATTTTAAATAATTTATTTGTATGGATTGATTTATTTTAAAACATAGATTGATTTATTATTGTAGTTGTATAGATTGATTTATTTTAAAATATGAATTGATTTATTTTAAATAATTTATTAGTATGGATTGATTTATTTTAAAATATGAATTGATTTATTTTAAAATATGGATTGATTTATTTTAAATAATTTATTAGTATGGATTGATTTATTTTAAATAATTTATTTGTATGGATTGATTTATTTTAAATAATTTATTAGTATGTATTGATTTATTTTACAATATAGATTGATTTATTATTGTAGTTGTGTGGATTAATTTATTTTTAAATAATTTATTAGTATGGATTGATTTATTTTAAAATATTGATTGATTTATTTTAAATAATTTATTATTGTAGTTGTATGAATTATTTAAATTTCAGTATTGTAAAACTAAAATTATTTAAATCTCAGTATTGCAAAACTCTTTTAAGTTTAAAAAATCAGTTTATTTATATTTCAGTTCATTTTAGCAGTCTGCAGACGTTAAAAAACAAACAGTTTTCTTCTTGCAGACTGCAGACTTTTGGTCCACCTCTTCTGCTGCAGATGCATGCAGATGTGATCCGCAGACTGCAGATTTTTTACCTTTGTAAAAACAAACACCACCTAAGTGTTGACTGTGTAGTGTGTACTAGAAAATAAAGGAAAAGGGAGGCGGGGGAGAAGAAGACGACACGTGGAAAGCATGCATGATGTGATCTAACGGCTCCCATGATGGCGATCGGGTGCCACGTGTCTTGATGGGTGAAACCGTGGATCCCCACCGCCGAGACACACTTGTTCACTTCTCAAGCCACTGCCGAATTAGGAAAAAATTATTCGATTTTATTTAAATGTCCTAATAATATATAGGATAAACTATTCCTTTAGCATCCCAACTATTATTTTTTTCCGTTTTGGTCATTTAACTATTAATTTTTTTAAAATTATATCTAACATTACGTCATGATTTTATTTTAATCACATGTCCTTAAAAATTAACAAAATTGTTGACGTGATATTTTTAACGTTTTTTTCAATGATAATATAATATTATCTTATAGTAATATGTCAATATCGTCGCCAATCTTTTAATGGTAAATAACTAAAATGAAGTTAAAACATATGTAGCACATATACAACATCTTATTGCCGTACCAAATACCCGTTACATCCCCAACATGGGTACGGGCCAAGTACATATTTGGTACGTACTAGAGACGTCCTATTTTTAAGGGGTACGATTGAAATTAATTGGATAGTCAAAGAGGTTTTCAGGGACATATCGGGATGATATTTGATCTTCATGTGCATACCCAAGATGATTTTTAAGATTTAAATAATAAAAACGAATATAGATGAATTAAGATGTGATTTTTTAATCAAGATTTAATTTTTTACAAAGACTTATTCTTCGGAATCAAAAAGTTGGTTGACTAACTTTGATGCTAAAATTCCATTGCTCTAATCTTCGTTTTTCAAAATGCTTGGACAACCTACTTCATTATTTTGTTGTGAAAGAAATTAAAGTATTTATTCCTTCATCCACTCAGGAGGAATAAGTAAATCTAAGTTGTGCTGAAGATTTGATTTACACCTACTATAATCTATATCTTTTATCAAAGAATTTTAGTCACTATGAACTTTTTAATGAATATCTATGACATTTTTATGTCTTTTAAAATATTAAAATATATTTTTTATTTATTGTACCTTTGCCTGTACTTTATAATTTTAGAAGTTGTCGTTTCTCATCCCCGTATTTATATCGTATACATATCAGTGCGACATAGGTTAAAACATAATATTAGGTATAATTTTGAAAAAATATAGTTAGATGACCAAAACATTATAAAAATGATAATTGAAGTACTAAACATAATATTTTTAGAGTCAATTTACATGATTTTGCCGCCACTTGTTCCTTTTTTACGCTTTAGCGACAATAATTTTCAGCTGAAGAGAGAACATAAAGGAAAACTTAGCACAAAAAGCAAGCAAAAGATACTGTTTGTCGCCACAAAGCTAATTAATTAGGTGCTAACACTAATCCCAAACCTCATTAGGTACAAAAACTCAGTTTCTCTCAAAGTTATATAATAATTATTATTAAATTAATATAAAAAAGTCATTATTACATTATAAAAATCATAAAAATCTAATAAATTTAATGACTATTTTATAATTTTGAGATTCGTTGGTATTCGTGGCTAAAAAAACAAATGGAGAAATCGTCGCTAATGGTGGGAAATTTTGCCACGCTTCACCAAACTAAATAATTCTAGACTATGTTTGGTGCCATTTTCATAATTATTTGTTCTGATAAGGACACCCCAACCCCCACCAAACATTTAATCAAACTCTAAGTGTCACAAGCAAAGCAACCATTTCCTTGCAAAACGGTACATAGCAAATGAAACTCGAATCGGGGTCGAAATTAAATTATAATATTTTTGGAGGATCAAAGTGTAATTTTACCATTATACTATAAGGTTAATAGATTAAACTCGAATCCTATATGAATCATGGTAACTCATGTCTAGAGAAGTAAGGATTGGACTATACAGCATTACGGATTTGATGCTTTGAAATGATCCTTCAGGGCAGCTGCCTCTCAGCTGCAACCGATTTAGCTCCGATCATCGCCTGATAACTCGACTTGCAGATCGTTTCTGTTTTGATCACTCTTTTTCCAGGCATAACAAGGCAGCTCTGGTCCCGGATGTGAAAAAACGTGGCATGTTGATCATCGTGATCCGAGCATTAAACGGAACATTCATCAATGGAGATTTCCTTGGGGACCCTCAAACTAATTTGATGGATGTCCCATCCAGATTTATCCAGTTGTTGAACGAACTCGTCGAACCTTTCATCCATCTCGGACAAACTTTTCGCAAGCTGATCAAAGAGATCTTCTGAGACATTCAAGTTATCGTGTAGCCAATACGTCTGCCAGACTCTACGCAAGACGGAGACACTCGTAGCACCGGCCTGCAGAAAATTTTATACACGATTACGCTTAAGAGTTGATCTCATAATAATGCGTCGAGTTCGTTTTAGCATGCATACCTTGAACGAAACGAAAACCTCGAAATCTTTTCGATGTTGGTTCACCGTGAGAATATATTTCTCCCTTGCATATATTCTAAGGAGAGTTTTCAGCTGTTCTAGAAAAGAAAAAAGCAGCCCGAATTATGTAAGTTCGTATTAGTACTTTAACAAATGACCAGCAAATAATCAGGCAATACCGTCAAAATGGATCTCCCACCACCTAACATCTCCTCCATGGGCACACTGAAAATAATCCGAGGATTTATGAATCGCTGCCACGATAAAATATTTTCATCCCTGTTGCAGTCATTGCATCCTGTGGTGGGACAAATACAAAAATTCGGGTCATTTCTGTCGGAACAATATATTCCTCATACAAGCACTGGTTCGAAAGGTATATAATCGTACCCGGCACTCTAGAGTGCAAAACATGCGACTGTGCAAGAATACGAGCTCGCTTAAGATTTATCTGTCCCAAAATGAAAGAAGATTAGTGTTGCCAAAACAAACAATGGCCAGCATGAGCATACTGATTCAAGGAGTACATAAACAATTACGATATAGAACATAGAGCTTATGTACTTGTCCGGATATTGCTGGTAAGAAAAAGAACATACCGTATTAAATCTTAGAGCTGAAAGTGACAAATAACGTAACCATAGGTGAAAAAGCCGCATGCACGCCCATGTTGATACCAACACCGGATATGATTTAACAAGGCCAGGAGTATCCTGCATTTGTTATTGTCAACATTCATATATAGCATGTTGAAGCTAGAAGCTGATGGTAGCTCGTAAATTTGATCTCCACCCAGAAAGTAATCCGAGAAACCAAACAACATACCAGGATCAGTATGCCGAGAGAAAGACCAAGCAGCTGAGCAGTTACTTCCCAAACTTCCTCCTAAAAATCAAGGTCGATTAGTTTACTGCAAACATAAGTTTAGTTCGCATAATCGATGTTACGTGTAACTAGTACAGGCAAAGATGCATGCATGATACCAATCTATATGTTTGCACTACCTTAGCAGCCACCTCTCCGAGATTTCCCGAGATTGCAAAATGGTTTTGTATCACTCTGAATGAAGGATCTTTAAGTCCTCTTGCTACTGCCTGGTACGATTTCAATGAAGAAACAATTCGTAAACTTTTCACTCGAGTTCAAACTGGCGCATAAAACTGACTCTACTTGCATAGAAGCTCACATCAAATACATTCTTATCGAGCATTGATTGTTATAGATAGAGAGTACCGGAACTAGTACGCCCAGAGCAATACCTTCGCAAGATTGCCTAGAGATGCCAATGGCAGGAAATAGGCAGGATAAACTTGTGTTGTTAGATCAAATATGCTGCAAGATAAATTAAGATATTCAGTGATCTCTAACAACTCTATTATAATTTAACTCTACACCGGAAAACAAACCATCCAGCACTGCCGATGAAGTCTGCATACATGCGCCACTGTTTAGGGTCATCGTCAAAGAGATTCCCGAATCGACCACCTGAAAAATGTGCAATAGTAATATATAAATTTCTTCACATAACTTCTTTTTCGAATTTAAGCTCATTACAAAATTGCCAGACCAATGAATAAGCGCCCAACAGCCCCAATGCCATCTTTCGACGCCCATCTGTGCAAACGGTCACGCAAATCGCTCAATGACACATAAATATTATGTTGATAGGAAAAACATGATTCTTTTGCTGTCTCTAAACTATATACTCGGTTGAATCCTCGCACAGAAGAGTTGGAAAAAACATTATTCTTTTCCATTCCAGAATTACACGCTTGCACATAAAGATTTCACATAGGGAATGATAACTTAGATCATGGAAAATTACCTGATGGCAGCAGCAGAGGCAGCAGCAGCAGTTCCTGAGAAAGAACCAACCCCGACAACCTGCAACACGGGGAACAAAATTCGTTTCTACATAAGCTTAATGAAAGAGTAGCAATGACAAACAAAAGATTCATTAAGACAAAAGGTAATCTAAAAGCGATATCGGAGCCTTATCTACAAACTTGGAAACTCAAAAAACCACTCATGGCAATACAAAATTCATAGTAACAGATACCGAATGAATTTAAATTATAATTAGACACGCCAAGGAAAACCGAAATCCTAACACCCCTTCCCATAGAAAGCAATAACTTTTAAAGTCTTAAAGCATTTTGTCTTCTTTTGAGCCGAAAATGAGGGAGTGAAAAATCCTACATCACATACCCGAGAAAGGATAATGGCCGGAGTTAGATTCACATGCCTTTAGAAGACTCGATGTAACGATAGTGTGACATATCCATCCAGTAACATTTGTGGGAAACTGTAACAACATGTACTGCAAGTAATCATCCGACACAGATCCTGCATTAATCAAAACAAAGAACAAAGATGTTATATGTGAATAAATGAAAAACAAAAGAACAAATTGAAGGAAATGTTAGATGTTTTTTTAATAGTATAGGGTGATTACAAGATAGTAGCTTAGATGTTCACAATCTTTTTTAGTCATTATGGACAAACAAGATGCAACTGCTCCAACCCGAGATATAGGAGAACACCAATTCCTTTACGAGTGAGGTCGGGTTCTTAGATGCTAGTTTACCTGGGAAACCTGCAGGCAAGATAAATTCTTTGAGGATGGGTGGTAGCCAAGATAACTTGGGGTCAGATAAATGTGAGCCATTGGACTCTTTGCTTGTTGGATCATTTTCTTCAAGAAAAGCTCGAATCTTCAAACCATCATCTTCTAGCACGTATCTGATCAACACAGAAATCATTCAGATTCCACATTTTATTTAAGGGGAATGAAATGTTGGGGGGGGGGATAAAACAACCTTTTAATAGTACCACTTCCATATCTTTCTACTAAAATCACTTGGTCTTGACTTCTACTATTTCTGCTGAAAAAAGCTGTTGAATTTCAGGAAACTGAGGAAAAATAAAACAAGGGTTTGAATGAAGGAGAAAGTACCTATCATTTTCAGTATGTTGCCCAGATTCTTTAGAAGAGTGCAGAGTTTGGAGATTGCCTAATCTCTTGTCGATGATGTTTCTTCGAGAAGGGAAAATTCCTGAAGGGAATGGGAGTTGCAGAGTATAAGAGACAGACATTTTTGGATGAACTGAGCTTTAACTTTTTGTAAGAAAGCTTTGAAAAGATTCAATCTTTTTGTCTGAATATGGTATTTCTATCTGCCTTCTTCGCTCCTTAACCAACCAAATCCCGGAATTTTATTAAAAATGACGTCATCTCCAAAATTAATATACTATTCCGGATTCATGTAAGAAAAATAAAATTTGATCGATATTACTTATTTTAGAAGAAGAAAACTAATGAAACGAAGAAGAGAAGAAAGGGTAACTTTTGGTCTGTAAACTGAAATTTGTTGGACTGTCTTAAAAAAAATCTCATTCGTCTTTAATATTCTCAGCTGCTTAATTTAAAATATAAAGTATAAAAAGGATAATCTAGAAGAAAATATTCTTATTGTATATAATATTTTATTTAACAATAAATTGTTTTGTGAAATTTAATCTAGAAGAATAAATATTATTAAAATGCTTTGGACGTATATTTCCTACAACATAATTTTATTTATTTTAAAAAAATAAAATATTGATAATTACAATTAAGCATATACATTTAACCTCTTGCATGAAAATTCTAAATAGAAAAGTTGTCAAGAGTGGTGTGGCAAATAACAATAAGCTCTCACGCAAGAGTAACGTAATTACAAAGAGAAACAGAGAACTGCAGCCTGTCTTCTTCATCAAGCTTTTCAATGGCATACCGATCAAAACCTTCATCTTAACTGTCAACACTCGGCTTTACGGCAGGCTCAGATCAACAAGAAACATACATGATGGCATCCCTGTTGAATTTCATCATAATATTCGACAAACCCTGTAATTCACCAACAATTTATACTCGGTTAACCTTCAATACTTGAGACCCATTTGTATGAAAAATGTACTTACTTTCTCAAGCTCTGAAGATTGCATCAATGGCTCCTTTTGTTGCAGGGTCTGTGAGGTTCACTAGGTCTAAGGTCAAAAATGAGAAAAACCCCAATAAAAATCAGTCAGAAACAAGAGTGTTCAAGTGATGAATAGCCGTAAATTGATTCAGTCTTACTTGAGGTATATTGGATACAAAAAAGCTAGCTCCAATGACACAGTAGAGCAGTATCAGAATCAGTCCTTGTACATATATGTGTGTGTCTGAATGACTGAAATGAAGAGTTGTTGTTGCTGCCTGTAAAGTGAAGACAACTGCACCGATCGATAGAGCGAGCGAACCGGTTTCGAGGAGATTGAAACTAAGATCCATGTTAATCCCCATAGTCCAAGCAGCAACCACGCAGAGAGGGACCTGAAAGCTTGGTCTTCTTAATAACTTGAAAAACACTGCAAGTTCGAATTAGGATTTACGAGCTCGTACCAAGAACATGGAGATTTGAGTTGCAGAGCCTAATGCAACACGTAAAGAAATATCCTGCTTTTGTTTGATGGTTTCAAAGTATCTGTCAACATTTTGTTTAATCTTTTTAGAGACTAAAACTAGAGGAAGTAACTCAGGCTCGTTACCAGTTTGTCTTTAAAAGCAAAAATGATCGCTCCTGCATGTTCCGGTGCATTCCCGACGATAGGTAGCAAAATCATTCTGTTAAAGCTAAGGGAAATTCCCCATGAATTCGATGCGTCCTGTGATTTAAGAAACATGAAGAGTCCGAGCAAGTACACAAGCATATAGTACAATATATCTTGTAAGATGTAAGTGCCACCATATGGCACATTTCATGTTTAACTAACAAGAAAGTAGGGGGTAGCCAATAACAGTCTGCAAGAGAAACTGGTGGTGGAACAATGATTACCTCGACAATATATTCGGATAACAGAGAGACGAGAGCGGAGAGTCCGACTAGCCATATAATTGCACTCCAAAATCCGATCACCGCTGCTTCTTCTGATTCTCCATCTTCCTCATCTTCTTGTTCCTGTTCAATTGACTTATCAACTAAAGTGTACTCTACAATATCAGCTTCATATGTATACCTTTAAAATATCCAGTTCACATTAGACTAGTTTTTAAAACTGATGAACATCGATCGAACTACCTCTTCAGCTTCGAAGAATTACTGGTGTGTGAATAGTTGAAAGACCAAGTACGAAAAGTATGCTATCAACATTACAATGCTGCTGGCTGTCGACAACTGCAGTGTTGGTTCGGCCATGACTGCAGCCGGTCCCCCACCCATTCGAAACAACAATGGCAGCGAATGGCACAGCAATCCAAGCAGCAGCAGAAGACAATTCACTTCGGCTTGTCTCTGTCGAATCCAACAAAGCGTTCAACATCGAAATCAGCCTCAACTCTTGAGCCAAATATGTAGAAATCATGAAATAATTTGTGTTGCAAGTAACTTACTCGATTGAATTTCTGCCCCTTTCTGAGATTGGCAATACCTCCACAAAAGACAGAGGTCCCCAGAATCAAAAGCATGTTTGATAGAACTGAGCCCAGCAGGGAATACTTGACCATATCTAGTTTATTTTGCCTTGGTGCAAAAATTGCTATGATCAGCTCAGGGGCATTGCCACAGGTTGCATTCACCAACCCTCCCACTGCAACATTAAAAACTTGTACTTCACATCAAGTTATGAACTTAAAAATTCCATTTCATCATAAAAATTCTGTGTCCGTGTCTGAGTCTAACATAGGACTGTAAATAAACACAACGTTCAAAAAACAATCGTTGTTTATGTTTGTTTATTAAGTTAAATAACATGAACAAAGGTGTGTTCAGTTAGCTTATGTTCACGAACAAACTAATTTATTGGCTCATTTATAAGCTCCTTTATCAACTAGTTTATGATCTCGTTTGCTCGGTTCTCATTTTCTTTTGATTTTTTTTACATTTTAAATATCAGTAAAAATAGGAACTAAATTGAATATAAGATTAACTTTGGTGTTCAAATTGTAAATTATTAAACAATAAGGACTAATGGCATAGTTTACCTTTTTCTTTGACTCGCTAATAAATAAACTAACACAACTTTAATCGTTCTTGAAACTTGAGTAAAAATTAAAAATAGTTTTATGGACGTACCTGCTGGACCGATGTAATAAGCAATTTGCCTGCAATGTAGGAAAACAAGATAAACAGGAAGAAATCAAGTCATAAATATATACACACACACACGATCAAGCACAAGTATATATAAAATCTGGCTTACTCTGTGAGAAAGCCGATTCGTTCAGCCAATGCAGAGACTCCAAGCAAACTCAATGCAAAAACCCAGGACTGTTTTACAGAAAACGATCATAAACGTTAGCAGTTCTTCCATTGAGGAATATAAACAAACAGTGAGAATACGAACTCACTCTTCCAAAGCCATAACACCGAGCCACAAAGGCGAGTGGAATAACGGGCAGCACAACCGAGAGTTTAGTCCCTAAAACCACATCTTGAAGATTGGCGAGGAAATTCCGGAGCATCGGACGACATGGTGATTAAAGTCTTTCCATGGCAGCTCTCCTTGCTGGAAACTTTGCTATTTCCATTCTCTAATAGAAATGGTTCTTCCTCAATGTTGCGGAAGACGGCTATCGGATAGAGCAAAATCGCAACTGATAATTTGAGAAAATAAAAATGAAGATAAAAGAGACAAAATTTACGTGGAAAACCCCTAAAATATTTAGGGTAAAAACCACGGGCAACGGTAGAAGAATTTCACTATGAGAAAATAGGAATTACAACCTCTCTCGATCTACCAAGGAGAAAATAAGGATAATTCTCTCTCGATAAAAAGGAGAAAACAATTCTCAAGAAACTCTCTAAATTCTCTCTAGTATTGGAAGAAAGCTAGAATGCTTTGGGATGGTTTTGAAGCTAAATAAGCTAGGGTATTTATAGTTGAATCATAAGGACTAATTTGTAAATACCCTAAAGTCTAGGGGGCTAAAAGTGTAATTTTACCCTTGCAAATTTTTCCACAATTACTGGCTACTTTTTTTGGTGCCATTAATTGTGCACTTTCGGTGCCCCCAAGTTTGACAATTAACTTGGACTTTCAACAATCTCCCACTTGAAGATTTGATTGGAACAATCATATCTTCACACCATTCTTTCTACCTTATACCATCATGTTGCTTACGTTTCTGACAGGCCACAAGAGGATCGACACCAAGTAAATTTATCAGCGTTAATCGCCTTTGTCATTAAATCTGCTATATTGTCTTTGGTATGGATCTTCTGCATATCTACTGTTCCTTCTTCCACCTTTTCACGAATGAAGTGGTACTGAACTCGTATGTGTTTTGTCCTTGAATGAAATGTTGGATTCCTTGCTAGATGCAAGGCGCTTTGACTGTCACAGAAAAGAGAAACATGCTCTTGATTGTGCCCAAGCTCCTCCAATAACATCTTCAACCAAATTGCTTCTTTACTGGCTTGTGTAGCTGCTACATATTCGCCTCTGTTGTTGACGTAGCCACAACTGACTGCAATTTTGAAACCCAGCTTACAGCTCCACCAACAGTTTTGAACACATATCCTGTAGTAGATTTGCTTTTATCCAAATCCCCTGCATAGTCAGAATCTACATACCCATTGATTAGTAAGTTTGATCCTCCGTAACATAATGCAATATTTGAGGTCCCTTTGATGTATCTCAGGATCCTCTTCACTATATTTCAATGCTCTTTGCCTGGATTCGCCATGTACCGACTAACCACTCCCACTGCTTGTGCAATGTCTGGTCTTGTGTATATCATAGCGAACATTAAACTTCCCACTGCAGATGCATATGGTACTCGAGACATCTCCATCCTCTCTTCTTCACTGCTAGGACTCATACTGGAGGATAATTTGAAGTTAATAGGAAGAGGGGTAGAAATTGGCTTACAATCTTGCATGCTGAATCGTGACAAGATTTTCTTCAAGTAATTCTTTTGTGAAAGCCAAATCTTCCTATTACTTCTGTCTCGGTGAATTTGCATCCCTAGAATCTTGTTTGCTGATCCCAAGTCCTTCATTTCAAATTCCCTAGCCAGTTGTGCCTTCAATTCTTCAATATGATCTTTGTTGGGTCCTGCAACCAACATGTCATCTACATACAACAGCAA